TACTATGAATATAGACATGTCAAACATTTTAGTTAAAATACATAAATATATCTAAAGTAATAATCTATATAAATTATATGTTATGGCTACCAATATGATTTTAAATAATTTGTTAGTAACATTAGTATATGAGTTATTAGGAAAATATTTTTTATGTGATGAAACATAACATGTGTATTTTATTGCTCATGGATTTTGGCACAACGCGTATATTTACTTTAATCAAATCTTACTATATTAATATTGATAGATGGGGGTAATGTAGAAACATATATATGCTCTATTCTTTATCTAAACATTTTTTGTAATAGGATATGTTGATAAATTAGATGTAGATTTGAGGGGTATTTATTTTTTCTAACAATGAGATGAAATTATCGCTCATAATAAGAGGACGTCTGTAATTAAATGTAAATTTAGGTCTACTTTAGATCAACGACATATGTGGGCAATATAAATTATAGTCATGAGTTAGTTTATATTGTTTTGCATAATAGCAGAAGTGGAAAATTATTTAGAAAATAGAATATCCAATTTCTATTATTATTATCAATGGAGATTAGGTTATACCTAATTGATGGTAAGATGTTTTTGATTTTTATGAGAATTTTTAGGATCTATCTTTTGTTTTTCCATCAAGTCTTGTGAGGATTAACATGTAGGCTCTAGTGGGGACCTCTAGTTAGAATTTCTAGTATTTATATTTTTTCTAGTAAGATATGTATTTAGTTGGGATCTAGTCTTAAGATATATAAACTCTTGATACAACCCTTTTTTGACTTTGTAAATCTATATTTATCTTTTAACTTTTAATCAAGTTGTTGCAAATTTTTCACATTTAATTAGAACTTCTAGTATTCTTTATATTTTATTCAAAAATTGTTTTTTATTAAAATGAGTCAAGGTCCTATTAGTATTGTTTTTCAAATAAGTTGAAACTTGCTTGCACTCCAACACTAAACATGTTGAATTTGTTATATAATAGGATTATATGTGTACAATATTATTTATATACCATATACTGTATAAAATTAAATTAATAATATTGATATGACACAATGTTTCATTAAAAATATATCAATATAAAGTGTTATTGCTACGTGGTTTGTTAAATGAATATTTTTCCATGTTTCATAAGTTAATAAAATATATATTTATCATAAGGTATATATGTTTATTTGATATCCATGGTGGAACATAGCATTATAGTTATTTTATTTCATGATTTTAAAAGTCTCTAATTTACAAATATATATATGTATCGTACTTTATGGATATGGATTTATCTTTTGCAATAATGTATATTATTACTATATGTGTAGATTTCAGAGATTTTTTGTTTATTTTTTTATAACGGCTAAGGTACATACAAATATAAAGGTAATATCTTATGTTATGTTTCACAACAATATATATGGATAAATCAAATGTAAACATAGAATACTACTTTGCATTATCTTTCCTAATGATAAAGATGGATAATTTATAAAATTGTTATGAGGTACTTTAAATTATCTTTCATAATGCTAGGTGTGGATAATTTAGATACGAAGTTTGAGGATTATTTCATATTATCTTTGATAATAACATAGTTGGGTAATTTAGACGCAATGCTAGGGTGTTATTTTAAATTATGTTTTATAATAACCGAGATGTGTAATTTAGATGCAAATTTAGGGGGTTATTTTGAATTATTTTTATTATGACAGATGTGGGTAATTTATATAAAAATATAGGGGTTTATTTTGAATTATCTTTCGTAATGGTAGATGTGGGTAATTTAGATGCAAAATTAGGGGGTTACTTTATCTATTTTTATAATGGCAGATGTGAGTAATTTTTAATAAACTACAATAGATCCAATGGCTATTATCGGTGAAGATGATTAGAGTCTACCAAATCAATGGCTATTAATAAACTTTCTGATTTATTGTGAGAATTTTTAGGATTTATCTTTTTTCTTAGCGCACCTAGTGAGAATTAACGTGATGCCTTCGTTGGGACCTCTAATTAGTAATAGTAAGATAAGATAAGATGTTTTGTACTCACTTGAGCAATCATTACGTCGGAGTCGTCGTTGCCACGATACACGGCACATGACCTCTCCAAGTCGAAGTAGCTACTACCCTTGATCCTGAAATCACATACCTGCTGCTCAGCTGTGGTGCTCCCAGCAGCCAGAAAGACATCCATCCCGGTCTTCAGTGGGAAAATGGATGTTTTCTTCACCGTGAAGAGCAAATCATTTGCAGCCGTGCTATCCCCTCTGAACACTTGCCATGTGTCAAGCGTACTAAATACCTGTTAGTACGTACGCCCTGCTTAGCTTGTGATGTGATACTAATGAAATGCCTGAATCGGAAATCTCTCACTCAACTCACTCAGCCACCATATATATACGTATTTATTTACGTATATGTTGCTGCAGTGATAGACCAAGTCATTTCTAGATATCAAGAAATTACTACTGCAGGAGCATCATCGCTGATTGAAAACAAACACTGGCTGTGAAAGATTGTCACCGCTGGTTCTAGAATTCCGAGGCCGCTGAGCAATGATTGAGGTAGATGAAAAACAGCAGCGAACACAGGGAACATTGTCGGCTGTAGCCAAAAACAGTTAGGGCAACTTTAATTAGTGTGTGTTCTAAGAGGGTGCCAAGAGGAGAGAAGCAGCTAGCAGCAGTGCTAAACGTTGGAGCGCGGGGGTGCGAAGCTAACAACCTTAGCACAGTTGCAAAATTGAGCACCCGGTGCTCTGCAGCAAAAAAAAAAAAAAAAAAAAAAAAAAAAAACTCTCGTAGTTTGCTTCTTCCCATGGGACCCACTATTAGCAAAGGCTGGTGGTGTTGGACGTTGGAGAGAAGAAGAAACCTTAACACCCCTATGACATGTCTTGACTTAGCACCTAGTGATACATTACTATACATCGGTTGAAGCCAACAAATAGCAAGCATTTATACAACGCATATCACTATAGTTCTGTTCACAACTGCCAGTGATGTATAACTATCGGTTCTTGGCTGCAACTGGTACTGATATTCAAATATCACTGCTGTTTTTTTTTTTGATTGGACATTGTTTTGTGCACAACACATATGCCTTCTTTCCCTTTCAGCTCGATTATCTGACCAAATAAGCCATCTACCCATTCTTCTATTGTTGTGAAATTTCAAATATATAAACTCGTCATAAAAAACTAGATCATCTAATCTAGGTTGTGAAATTTCAAATAATCATTATCATTAAGAAGAGAAAATAGGCACCCAAATTTAAGCCAAGAGGAGATTTGAACCTGCGTGGTTTGGTGCCGCACGACCACACATCTCACCCAACCAGTTGAGCTAAGTTCATCTCTCCATCTGAACTCACCATGATTCTTAAACCATGCAATGCGTCCCAATGAGCACTCTGTACACCCACTCCATTCGTGTTGTTTGTTTGGTGCTGGTCGTAGTCAGTAGAGAGACAGACTTCCAACATTTTCATGCACATATGCGAATTAGGATGATGCTATACTTTAGATGCCTAGGATTTTTTATCAACAACCAATATCTGGACTGTAATATCTTGATTGGATGATCATGCTCTTTTCTTCTTTGTGCTTACAATACTCTGTCTTCTTTGTCATGTGCCCGATCTCATATATACTGCCTACTCTATCTAACTGCAACTTCCTCAATGGTATCATATTGGCACATACTGCCATCTGTTCCACTAGCTTGGCTTCACTATGCCTCTCTCACCACACAACCATATCTGTAGCCAGCGACATTCCACGCGCTAAACCATCCTCTACCTATCTCTTCCACCTAACATGCTCGCTCCTCTTCCCTCTTCTACCACCTTAATGGTATCTTGCGGTTAAATTTGTCCTTGCCCCCATATGTTCCTCTAGCTCGGTTTCACCATGGCTCCCCTCCACTCACAACCAATGGTATCTTTTCTCTCCAGAAAACCTGGTACCTATCTCTTCTAACGAGCATGTTGCCTCCCCAATTCCCTCCCCCTTTTGATCCAGGATTTCGCCATGGACCGTAAAAAACCTAAAACCTAACTTCACCCAAAAATAACTCACACTAGATTTGAATGTCGCCTAAAATTCTTCTTCTTTCAGGAACTAGTTCTAGAGTAGGAAATAAAAGCACTAGGGTGGGAGCTGGCTAGGTAGGGTTGGATGTAGTAGTATTAAAAATTGCAACTTTATAAATCAGAGACGTGCAAATCTTCAAAAAGAATTATAAACAGAGGTTTAAAAACTCCGTAAAAGACTAGAGTCTTGTTTGGATATTGTAGTATTAAGAAACTACAGTATTGGAAAACTACAGTTTTAAAACTTATTGATGTGCGAAACCATGGTTTAAAAAAAAGGTCTAGAGTGGAATTTTTAAAACTCCATAAAGATTACAAATTTAGCAATACCATTGTATTCAAAACCATACAATTTGTTGCAACCACACACTTTATGTTACCTTGAAACCAAAAAATTTCACAAAACTATGGTATTTCTTGAACTCTAAAAGTACTTTGCATCCAATTAGGGCCAACACTTTTATCAATACTATGGTATCCAAAACTATAAAGTTTATTGCATCCAAACGCTTGTATTTTATAAAATTAATGTATTTTTTCAAAACTCAAAAAATAAGTTGCACTCAAAGCTTGGTTAACCTTTTAGTCCATTTATTCCAAATGATAAGTCATTTTAGCTTTATCCTAAGTCAAACTTATCTAGTTTTTACAAAATTAATTTGTTAAAAGGAATATACTAACATTAACAAAATATCAAATAAATGTACTATCAGAATATATTTCGTGGTGTGTCGAATAAATTCAGTTTAATATTTTGGGTATTTAATTATTCATCATTTTTCTGTATTATCAAAGCTGGACAATTTTTTTTGGAACAATAGTAGAAGCTCTGCCGCTCAATTAAAACAAAAAAATCTATATATGTATAAGATGGCTACCCAACGGATGCCAAATAGGGCACCCGAGGGGCTAACCAACCCACGCGACGTAGCTGAGCGGCACACTATCATCACCATCACTGTTCGTGTACCCGGCCGTTTTAGCCTGTGTACACGCCAATTAAAGCGATTTACAGTTTAGAACGTTGTTAATAGGGAGTACTATATTTTACACGAGAGGAACCTAACGAAACTTGGCTGCGATCCGTGTCTTGGATTGCATCGTTAATTTGCCACTTTGTATTTTGTAGACTACTCGTACTAGTGCTAGCTAGGACTGTACGTAGGATCAACGATGGATTCGATTCGCGAGAACTCCCGTGGAGTGGAGGCAGCCCGCAGAAGCAAGAAACAAAAGGAAATGCGCATGTGTAACGTGAGTTACCTACCTTCCGTTGCATGGTGAGGAGGATGGCCCGTCCGGCGGCGTCGTAGAGCACCCGGTGGCTCCGGACGCAGAGAAAGGTGCCCTTGGCTTGCAGCACGACGGCGCCGTTAGCGTCGTCGTCGGTGACGGTGAAGTCGCCGCCAGAGAAGCTCATGTCCTTGGTCACCGTCAGCGACACCGCGTGCGGCGCGCAGAACTGCGGGGACACCACCGCCACCGGTGCCGGTGCCGGTGGCGGCGTCAGCGCCAGCGCTGATGAAGTGTCGTCCAATTCCATCGGAATCGATCGCAGCTAGATCGAGCTCGATCGCCTTGCCGCTGCTACACCAGCGCGCCAGCGCTCGCTAGCTTGCTGGATGGGGCGGGACGAGGATCGGAGTTGGCCACGCGTTGTCGCTCGCTGCCCGTCCTCGCAGCTTAATTTCGCGTGTCTTACCTTGTCCCTTCCTGCTTGCTTGCTTCCTTGAGTACACACAAGTTGACCAAGCAAATTAAGTGTGGATGTACGTGGACTATGAAAAGATCGTCTCTGCTCTATAGTCAGGTCAAGGCATAGCGACCTTTGCTTCGTTACGTACCCGATCAGCCAACAATCTAGCTAGAAACGAGAAATTGGTACGAAACCGCATGTGTTCCCTAGTAAACAAAACGTCTAAATTAGTGCATGCATCGCGCCTACCTTAATTTTCTTGTGCTGTACCGATCGTTGATTTATATGACAGACATAGGTCCTGAATCTTAATAATAATTGGCAAAGGAATAAAACGAATTGTTAATTATCTGCTGTCCAACTTTCTCTATCAGCTTGAGATTTCAGTTGGTCAATGCATGCCATCCAAAAACAACCAAGTACTACAAGTGCTAAAGTATCTGTGTACAAGTTGTGACTTGTGAGAAGTAGAATTAAAAAAATTAAAGCTTGTTTGGCTGCTGGCCACTCCAATACCTCCCTGTCGGAATTGGGGTGAAATATATAGTGTGCAAACGACAGTGGCGGACCCAGAAATTTGACGAGCCCGGGCGAGGAACAAAGGCTATCTAATAAATAACAAGCGCTTAGAAACATAGATCATATAGCACAAGTTAAATATGTCAATGACATTAGTTCTAACCAGAATCATGCTGTAACACATATTCAAATGATCACATGGATATGGAGAGCAAAACTTAACAAAATCACGTGCTAGTTTCCTGAATCTAATTTGTGATTACTGCAAGAATTAAGCATCGACTGGAACGAATTAACCAAATCACAAGGTTCAAAAAAATTAACCAAATCAGCAAGTATCAAATTGTGCCCAAATTTACCTGCTTGAGAATAGATGAGGAAGATCAATGCAATGGAAGTACCTCAAGCTCAAGGTTTGCTGGTCAGTGGTAAGCCTAGTCGGGAGAAGGTGGAGACCAAGAACAGGAGGAATAAGAGGGTGTAGTGCTTCAAGTGCGGAAATTGGAGACATTGAAGGACTATCTCAGGAAGGAGGCAAGTGCTAATATTGCTACATCTATGGGTGACCTAGACAATGACAGTAATCTTCTCTGCATAGTAGAAATGATGGCTTTTTGTAGTTATACAAGTTGCATGGGCGCATTGTTGGAGTTGGAGTTACTAGTAATGGGCTTGGAAGGATTGCAAGGCTTCCCGAGGCGGCGGGACAGAGATCAAGTCAAACTCGTCGGGCTGCTCTTCCTGAAGCGGCAGAGTCGACAGCCCAAGTCCGGAGTACATGGTGGTTCGCCGCATGACAAGCTTCAAGATGGCGAAATATTCGGCAAGATGGAATGGAGATTGTAAGAAATGTGCCCAATATTTATTGTACTAAAGTTGTTACAGTAGACATGTATTTTAATTAGCAGTATGTAGAGGGTTAGGTATAGCTGAGTGTTGGACTCTTGTAACCTGGCTTCTCTATAAATGGAGAGGGCTGCACTTTAAGCATTGGGAGTTCGCCGATCGTCTCCGAGCTGAGTGTTGGACATTGCTGAGGGTCCATTTTCCTTACAATATCGTCGATCGTCTCCGAGCTGAGTTCGCCATCAAAGACATGGTCATGCTCCGATTCTTCCTCGGCATCGACGTCAAGCGTGCCGCCGATGGGTTCTACATGTCCTAGGAGTGGTTCGCTGAAGACATCCTCAAGCGTGCAGGTATGACGTCGTGCAAGGCAGTGTCCACTATGATTGACACCAAGTGCAAGCTCTCCTCCGACGGCACCGCAATCGACGACGCCAAGACGTATCGCAGCCTGGCTGGGGCACTCTGGTACCTGACGGTGATGCACCCTGACCTTGCCTTCGCCGTGCAGCAAGCATGTTTGCACATGCATGACCCTCGCGTTCCGCACATGGCGTTGCTCAAAGAGGATCCTTCGCTATGTCCACGACACGATGCCACTCAGCCTTCATCTTCGTGCCTCCACCGAGCTCTCCGTCATAGCATACTCCAACACAGACTGGGCCGGCTGTCCTGAAACTCGACACTCGACATCCAGGTTCTGTGTCTTACTTGGTGACTCCCTCGTCTCCTAGTCATCGAAGAGACAGCCGACCGTGTCATGCTCGAGTGCCGAGGCTGAATACCGAGCGGTGACCAATGTAGCGGCTGAGCCTGGTTACGACAACTGCTCGACGAACTCCATTGGGGCATCACCAAAGCTACAGTGGTGCATGCGACAACATCCACTACTACAGAAAAACTTTCACAAGGCGTTTGGTTTGGGCCCTCCTAGGTGAGCGGGCTGGTTGACCGCCTTGGTCGATGCCTGGGATTAACCGAGGTGATCGTTTTTCATTAACCGAGGTGGTCACAATTAACCGTCTCCTCAAATATATTTACGGAGGTGGGCCTTATAAGTGGCCCGCCTCCAAAAATAGCTCGATTTTCAGAGGCGGGCCTCTTACGAGACCCGCCTCCGTTAATCCCTGCCGAGCCCAGTAAAGGTCCGGGCAGCCCACTTCGACCCGGCTAGAAGGTCAGAGTATATATACAAGTGAAACCCTAGCCCACTACACACCCTTCTCTCTTACCCATCAGCCCCCTCTCCCTCCTCGTCCACATCTCTCCTCTCCCTCAGGCGCGGCGGGTGAGGCGTGCCGCAGCGCGGGCGAGGCGAGGCGGGCCGCATCTGCTGCGCGGGCGAGGGGCGAGGTGGGAGGTGCGGGCAAGGCGGCCCTCCTCCCCCATCTCTTCCTCCAGCGTGGGGCGCGCGGCTGCCTCCTCCTCCTTTGGCGGGGTGCACGCGGATGCCTCCTCCTCCTCTGGTGTGGCCGCGTGCCCCCCCCCCCCTACGGTAGCGCCCCTCCTCCCCTCCGGCATGGCGCCCCTCTCCCCTCCCTCCCTCTCTCTCAGGCCCCTCCCGGATCCCAGATCCGGTGGCGTAGGCAAGGAGGAGGCCAGATCTGGCGGCGGGGAGGCCGGATCCGGTGGCTGGGAGGCCAGATCTAGGCGCGGGCGATGCGGCGGCGGCGCAGGCGGTACAGGGGCGGCGATGGCGCTCCTCCTTCACCTCTTCGTCAGCTCCAGTGCTGGGAGGGCGGATCCGGTGGCTGGGAGGCTGGATCCGGCGGCGGGGAGGCCGGATCTGGCAGCAGGAAGGCCGGATTCGGCGAGCTACGGCGGCAACGGCGGCGGTGCGTGGATGGGCTCGACGGGCTTGTCCATGGATTTTTCCTTTTTTATTTTTTTATTTGATTAACCCAGGCGGGCATTCCAACCGCCTCGAGAAAGATATATTTAACGTGACCTTTCGTCCAAAGCGGTTGCGGTGCCCGCCTCGGTTAATCACTTTTGTTTAGTAGTAGTGATCTTGGCTGTCTACATGTCATCCAACCCTGTTCATCACAAACGGACAAAGCATATCGAGCTGGATATGGCCCCGTTCGCTTGAACTTATCGGTTCGGCTTATCAGACATGGTACAGTGTTTTTCTCTCACAACAAAACAACATTAGCCGGCTTATCGGCTAGAAAAACCATCAGCCGATCAGTGTGCCACTTCGTTCGTGAACATGTCCATATAGGCAATCTCCGCGTTCTCCACATTCCGCGAACAGTATGCAGAAGTGATGACCAAGAGCCTCCTGGCATCGACGTTTGAGGCGTTCCGCTACAGTCTTTGTGTCGTTCCAACCACACTTCAGACCGCGGGGGGTGTTGAGGACTAGCGTATAGGCTACTGGCTCAAAGCAACCACGACGGCAGTTCACGTGCTCACCGCGCGCTCACCACGACGCCCACGCGCACATATCGTGCGCTCACACGTCCAGCAGAGGCGGTTACTAACGCATGTAATTCTTTTGTACAAAACATTCATGAGATTAACACGCAAGAGTTGTCGGCTCGATCATATGACCATGGATAACGGCTTTGGCAATTTGCTATCCGATCCGTCCAATGCACAGGCACGCTGCACACATTAAAAAAAATAACAGAATGACCTTTTTTCGCATGGTGCGAGACTGCGACGCTACGGACCTACAGTGGTGAAGCCGTCAAGAAGGTGACCTTCACACACGCAGCAACAGGGATATGGCGCAATCAGCATGCCGGGCCATTGGGGCCAAGCCAAAGTCGTCGCCGGCCATCTTTGTCACCGCCGTATGCGATGCAACTAGGAACGCACGCAGAGCGCTGCGGGCCCACCACCGGACCGGAGCACCCGGCCCGTACCGTACGTCGCTTTTTGACTGCTTCCTCTGTTCTTGCTTGCCGTGCTATGAGCCTCCGATGGATCCACGCGTTTACCGTGCCAATTGCTCGTGGATTTTAATTTGTTACGGCGTGCCCATCAAGTCGTATCTTAACTCATTTTTATACGAGTTACTAAATTAAATTCATTGTTGATTCAGTGGCATGTAACATTGTACTTTTAGTTATACTTACCGAATTGTTCATTGATTGGATTATACCGAATCATGCACGCTAGGGCATACTCTACCATAAAATTTTATCAGCTCTTGGATCCGCCAATAAAAGTATATCGGTCCTCAAAAGCACATAAAGTATCTCCAACAGCTACTAAATACAACTCTCTTAATAGACATATAACGGGGATAGCCTAATATCATTTTTTGCATTATTAGAGGAGATGTTGTAGCAGATCGCTAATAACATTCCTCAATACATGGGACCTACCTGTAGGAATATAATTTATTTATTTTCTCTTTTTTCCTTTTTTTCTATCCATGGCACATCATATCATAGTAGTACGCTCCTTGTTCATGTCCTCGTCCCCGACGGCCTGACCTCGACCCTGGCTGCACCACAGCTGACGCTTGA